GGATAGATACGAACATTCCATATATATATATATATATAATTATTTTTATAAAAAAATTTATAACATAAGTATGTTATAAAATCACTACAAAAATAGCCATTTTGTTTCAACACACTCTGTGTCTTATCAAGTGATGGTGTTGAAAAGAAAATAAATGGTTTTTCCTCATTCTTCTGATAAGGTTTTCAGTTTGCAGAGTTAAATGTACGAAATAATCCCTTTTGTTTGTAGTGGGAATGTTCTTAAGTGATACTCGAAATTGATTCTATCCATATTATAAGAATAGAACAGACAGGGCTCGACAGTAATAGGAGCTAATATCAAAGTATATAATTGGTATACACGGAATGAATTCCAATAACCAACAATTACTATTCTTAAAAGAGTGCTCAATACACAGTAGAGCAGATATAATTATTTTTGTAGTGATTTTATAACATACTTATGTTATAAATTTTTTATAAAATAATTATATCTGCTCTACTTGTATTGAACACTCTTTATATATATATATATATATATATATATATATATATATATATATATATATATATGCAGGTGATGGTTAAATTGTTGCCATTTTATATTTTTAATTTCGCGCAGGGTTGTTTTTTTTTTTTTTTATTTTGACGACTGCACAGTATAGTAGGCTCAGCTAAGCACCTTCTATGAGAAAAGAGCACTATGACGTCATTCCCTCCGACAGAAAATTGAAAAAAGAGCACTATGACGTCATTTCCTCCGACAGAAAATTGAAAAAGAGCACTATGACGTCATTCCTCCGACAGAAAATTGAAAAAGAGCACTATGACGTCATTCCTCCGACAGAAAATTGAAAAAGAGCACTATGACGTCATTCCTCCGACAGAAAAAATTGAAAAAGAGCACTATGACGTCATTCCCTCCGACAGAAAATTGAAAAAGAGCACTATGACGTCATTCCTCCGACAGAAAAATTGAAAAAGAGCACTATGACGTCATTCCCTCCGACAGAAAATTGAAAAAGAGCACTATGACGTCATTCCCTCCGACAGAAAATTGAAAAAGAGCACTATGACGTCATTCCCTCCGACAGAAAATTGAAAAAGAGCACTATGACGTCATTCCCTCCGACAGAAAATTGAAAAAGAGCACTATGACGTCATTCCTCCGACAGAAAATTGAAAAAGAGCACTATGACGTCATTCCCTCCGACAGAAAAATTGAAAAAAGGGCACTATGACGTCATTCCTCCGACAGAAAAAATTGAAAAAGGGCACTATGACGTCATTCCCTCCGACAGAAAATTGAAAAAGAGCACTATGACGTCATTCCCTCCGACAGAAAATTGAAAAAGGCATGTTGTTCTGCTTGGCAATCTTGCAGGAAACATTTTAGAGTGTTTCGTTGTCAATCTGAGTTGTCAATTTGGAAAGAGTTTGATGATTACAAAGGTACTGCAGCTCGGAAAACTCACTTTGATCGTTCTGATAAGAAAAGAACACCAGAATTTTTTGGTGATGGCTTCAGACTTAACATGAAGGCCTACATTAAGTTCCTTAAAGAGGTAGTTCTACCCTGGGTCTTCATGAAGTCTGGCAACTTTACTCTGCACAATGTCACACAAACAGGAGAACTCATTTATGGCTCTCAGACAATTTCAGCGACCATATCACCTCTTACATGTGGCCACCTAACTCCCCAGACTGCAACCCCCTTGATTATTATGTGTGGGACGCAGTTGAACGAGAGACCAACAAAACTCTTTGTAACATCAAAGATGAACTGAATGCACGGATTATGGCAGCATTCACCAACTTAAACAAGGAGACCGAAGAGATGCAGCAGATTCCGAAGTCATCTTGAGACTGTGCTCGAAACCAATTGCGATTTTATTGAATAAATTTACTCTTTCGTTGTTCAAGATATTTTGGTGTAATTTTGGTAATATCTGTTAAAATGAGATGTCAGTGTTATTTTCATTTTTGCGCCATTTAGACGACAATTTATCCATCGCACCGTATACAAGGTTATATATGTATGACAACACTCTATGCAATTTCATATACACACTCTTTTACGCACGCACACCCACGCACACACACACACACACACACACACACACACACAGACAGAGTTTTGACTACATAAACTTAATGATATTCATTTATTGTATTATTTAATTGTAAGGGTTGTGCGGTAACTCTTAAGATTTATGAATGATGATTTTTAAAATCATTTCTCACAGTCTATGACGTCTGGTGCAACACAATCTTCTTTGTCTTATTTAGCTAAGGGTTATACTAAAACGTTATTCATTTGTAAATATATACAAATTGATAACTACATAAATATATACACATTGATATCTACATAAATATATACAAATTGATAACTACATAAATATATACATATTGATAACTACATAAATATATACATATTGATAACTACATAAATATATACATATTGATAACTGCATAAATTAATAAAAATTGCTAACTATATAAATATATACATATTG